GTGTGACCACACCCAAACAAGAATACGGTACGGGGCTGGATAGCCAGTAGTTATGCATTTATTTAGAATTTACTATATATATAAAAATCTATATATTTAAAATTTGGCGGCTTTGCCGCAGATAAAAATAAATAAATTCAGTTTTGAATTCAAGCCGAAGAGTAAAGTAGCCTTGAGTATAGGCTATGATTACTCTTGGAGTAAGCGGATTGCGATCCGCTAAACTCGTACTTGATGTTAGTATAGAACGAAAGGTCGTTAACCTAGCTTACGCTTCATCTAAGCACAAAGCTACGGCAGCACCGCTGCATATATTGTCTCTCGCGCACTCGTTAAGCCTTTACTTCTGTGCACCAACTAATTCTTGCATCACAAATATGATTCCGCATTGGATACGACACCCACCAAATCCCTGAAAGGGTAAGCGTGTGAGCAGAAAATCTTGGCGCAAGCCATAAATGCATTCGTATACGTGATTATTATAATCGACTTTTTTGAAAGGAACTGTTGCCATCGCAACAATTGAAATTTAAGCGCTTAAGCATAATATGCTATATATATTGCGTTTCTTGAGAGATAGACAAGAATTGTGTGTGTACTCGGTACACCTGAATAAGCGGTGAGAAAACTAGCGACATCAGTCTTCAACACATGCACTGTTGGAAAATACTCATTCACAGAAACGCTGCATGTATGTCGAACGCGGCCTAGAAAGTAAGAGCAATGTACTGATGCTTCACCTCGAGAGCGACTGTTTACATGACAATCCAACCTTCTTTATTCAAAATAAAAAATGTCCGTCCTGCCCTTAACGACTGTCTACTTTGCGAAAAGCAGCCACACAGTAAGCGCTAGTGTGCTTCAACTGACGCCTGATTTGGGCGTATTGGAAGTGCACCACCAGCGTAATTATATAGTGAAAAGGCCTGTTTCCCGTCGAGACCAATAATAGAAACGATCGTGCCAAACGTGTCTGGTGATCGGGAGGTAGGTTGTATTCCATCCTCACAGATACAATCTTGTAAATCTCGCTCGTCGAATTGACGACAAGTACGACCACGTGCAATAGGGGTGCCGTACACCTTGGAAACTTTGTAGCTTTAGGCTTAGAGAGGTTAATCAAAGCACAGAAGATCAAACGATTCACCCAGGAGCGAAACGGTCAGCCTCTACGTAAAATCGATAATAATTTGCTCTTCTTTTTAAATGTTTCGGAATCACTTTATTTGAATAATATAAAATATATATGCTCAGTAATTAGCTACTAAATTCACACTCCGTATTGTCCTCATTTGTACCAATAATCCGGTACTTCTGAATTTCGCACGATTGCGGCGGACATTTCGGCACGTTATGTTGCAGATCTGTAAACACTTTTTGTCGAGTGTATTGAACCGCATAATACCGGTAACAATTCTGCAGTTTTCTCAACAGAGTAATCATACACATATTTGCATAACAATGGTCAACGTAGCGATTAGAAAGTTGATGAAGACAATTATATAGATAGAGGTCATACATGTACAGTAAAAGCTAGGGAGTTGCTATAGAATGCTGGCGCTACAAACGGCTTTGTAAATCCTGGCAACGTAGCTAAGATACCATATGTGTTCAGTGAACAATTGTTGAGTGTTTACTAGTAACTCTTACCACTAACATTACGGTACTTTCATTACATGCTGCACCGAGCACTCGGTGCACGACATGCAATGTAGAAACCACGCCTGTTGCCATTACGGCAGGCACGTACCGCGGCCTACCGTCACGTTTTCGTCATAAGTCGGACTGGTTTTGCCTCAGCTTCGATGATATCACATCATTTTGTTGTCTAGACAGACGTGGCGATTGCTCTTTCGAGAATACCCGGTACCGAGTCTTCTTCATCATGTATTCTAAATTCAATTACGTAATGTACTCCAATATGCCGTCATGGCAGATTCCTCACCTCAGTCCTGCCTCTTTGTAACCTGCACCTTCATCAAATAGGTACAGTATCCATCCAGCCCATGAATCAATCGGCAATTCCTGAATCTGCTTTCCGGTGGAAGTGCCATGGTTTGCCCGTAAAAAAAGGAAACGGCCATTTTGTTGAGATTTTGTGGCTTGTCAGCGAACGCGAAGTTTGTAATCAAAGAACTTTTCCAGCGCTCAAACTACTTCGAATTGTTCGCTCAGACGATGTACAAGACAAAGGGTTTGCCGCTGGTTTGATCAACACCTCTCGTTATAGTCAACTCCAGTCAAAATATCACGCCATAAGTGTCCCAAAACGGCACCATTATTGAAAAGTGGGTTATTATACTCAAGTAAAAGACACAGGAAACAACATGTTTTATGGACTTGAATAATGACTAAATATGATAAGAACCTTGAGGATCGGCGCCCCCTCGCTTCCGCTGGTGAGACATTCGCCAATCTGCCCAGAAAGTGGCGGAGAGCCGTGCGAGTTTTCCGGCCGCGTGGGCCCAAGAACAATGGGAATTAATTGCCATTTTCAGTCTTGCGAGGACAAGTTAAACGACTTGAAGGCAAATTGTGGAGAGTCAGTGGCTTAAGTGGCCGAGGTTGTAGCGCACCGGCTGATAAGCTCACAGCAGGTGCAGGTTTGATTTGTTTTCGTCACGTGGAGCCTTTAGCACAAATTCAGCTGTAGCACGGAAAGTTATGACTCGACGCATAGAACACCTTTTGACCCGTAAATCTCCAACTGTCCCGTCCTCTGCCTCGACACCCGTTGCATCCTCCTCATCGGTGTCATCGACCGTCTCGAGCAGCGGGAGTCCGTGCTTTTCATTCGAGGTGTGCCCTGAGGATCCCGCGTCTTTAGACAACGATATTAACAGCAAGCTTGGGCTCAAACTTAGCAGTGAGATGCACCATCCAGTCAATAAATCGACAGCGAACGTGCGTGCAAGTCTTGTGGTTGGAAATGACTACTCGTATGACAAACAGGCAACGTCTTCTATTGCCAGTAGTAGCAGGTTCCCAACAACAAGCGCGATAGAAGCTAAGATCAAGACGTTGCAATCCTATTTTAAATCTGTCTCAGCTGGCATTCGCCGCCGTAGCATAACCTTAGACCGCTTACGTCTTACCCAGGCGTACTGTCGCAGATCCGTGCCGACTCCGGCAGCTATGCGAACTAAGCTTAATGTCATCATATCAAGGCATAGCACCAGTGAGCACCAGACTACACTCTCCTGGGACGACATCGACGAGGGAAACAGTCTGAATTTTGTGGACTCAAACGAGGTGATTACGCCGTCCCCGGGTAGAAAACGTGGGCGTCCGAGTGACATTTTATGTGACGTCAAACTGCGCCAGATTTGTGCGCGGTGCGATGTTCCAGAACGATATACTGTGGAGGTGGTTCAAATTATCCAGTCATTCTTTGGCACACCAGAATTCGACGTGATTGCTTTAGAAAAATTTATGCCGGGTAACGTGGTGCTTTTTGTAGGCACATTAATTTTTGAGAGTATTGATGGTGTCAAGGATTTGCTTGATCTCAGTGTCGTGCCAGAATTTTTAAGGCATATACAGGGACGCTACGACAGCAGTATGCCGTTTCACAATGCAACCCATGCTGCAGACGTAATGCACACGCTGTTCATGCTGCTCAACAGCACAAATCTTGGTGAAAAGATTTCTCAACACAATCAGATTGGCGCCCTCTTAGCAGCAGTGATGCATGATGTGGAACACGTTGGTCTGACCAATGATTATCTCATCAAGACAAACCATCCTATAGCTCAGAAGTACTCATCGAAGGCTCCAATGGAGTCAAAACACATGGATTTGGCTTTGCAGGCGGCCTTGGACCCCAGGTTTCACATCCTGTCCAAGATGTCCCAAGCTAACCAGAAACAGGTACTTGAGGTTATCCGCGACTCGATTTTGGCTACTGCCTTAATATATCAACCTGAGTTGCTCACGGAAATTCACGACACGACAGTAGAAGAGTGGAAGACACTAGAAAAGGAGGATGGAGTTTTGCCACAGAGGCTTCAGGTGCGCGCGCTTCGAATTGCCATGCACGTGAGTGACATTAGCCAAACGATGAAGCCGTTTGAGAATCATCAAAAGTGGGTTTTTCGCTTGAACGATGAGCACTACAATCAGGGGGAATTGGACACCCGTGAGCAACGCGGAGTTAGCCAATCGTTTTGCTTCCGTGAAAAGTGGTCATACGATAGCTTTCTGTGCAGCCAAGTTTGTTTTCTTCGAAAGATGGCGCTTCCAGCTGTGATGGCGTTTAACAATATTCCATGGTTAGACGTGAATGAGCTCGTGAATGGTATTAAAAGAAACATTGCCGAGTGGGAGCAGCAGACAACCTCTTATTAGAAATAGTATTGCTTAGTGAAGAAGTGGGCGCTCATTGTAGAACTATACGCACATTGCAGTAATAAACTGAACGCTTTCACATTCATGTAAAACGAACTGTTGCATTCGTTGCGAACAGCTTCACAATATTAAGTTTTTTCTTTCAACGTCATTTCGACGAGAATACTGTATGATTTCAATACGACCGACGATACATATGGAAAGCAGCTGCTTGAGACATAGGAATCGGGCCTTTCGCCCGTCTGTCGCTTAGCAGGTTCAACATGTTCTGGTGCAGCTATTTCGCGAGTCGACCATTTGTCTATTTTGGCAAGCTGTTTCTTACCTAAATAGTATCATGTCAACGTTTCCAAAATTATTCCTCTAAAATGTTTTTTCATGAACTTTTTCGCGTTAAGTCGTGTATGCAGGGAAGCGATATCAAGATATTCAATAACTTTACTATTGAAATTCTATAGAGCAATCATCGCAAAAAGTTGAATATCTAACGTGGCATTTTGTAGCAGTAAAAGTTTAACATGAAATGAGATACTCTGAAGCCTCCATGGATGCCTAAGATTTTCCTCAACCCACTTGATATTGCTTCTGTACCGGGGTACGATGGATGTATGGTGTACACATACACGACACTGGTCAGAAGTACCAAAACACTGGTACTAATGAGTTCGTTGCTCCGCAATGGAGAGGTCAGTCGAATATGTGGACTGTTGGCCTCACGTCATGCAATAAACCAAAGATTATCGATTATAGTGAAATAGATCAGAGTCAAATTGGGCTTAATTTGACACTTGTGCAAAGTTAATACGGATTTACTGTAGAGGATCTCGGTTCCGCTTTTCGTTGGTGCATAAAAATTTGTTCTCTATGTTTAAAAGTCGATGCATAGTGACGTCAATACGTCCTCTACGCAAGGTACACGGCAACCTTTTGCACTTAATGCCGTCAAATCGATGATTGAGTTGTATATGACTGTATCCTCTGTGAGGACGGAACACGAGTTTCTCGCTTATCTGCCCTCAAAACAAACGTTGGTCGTAAGCTGATAAAGCAATTGGCAGCCCTAGTACTGGAAGAAGTTTTCGCTGGTTTGGCGTAAGAATGCGCTGATAAGCACCTCCAGAAACACCATAGCTACAGGCTGGTTGATGCATAATCAGCTCCCACCAAGATGCCGCTTATGTTTAGCGCTCATACTTCTGAGGGTAGATATGGGAGTAATGTTTTTGTAGGTGATAGAAGTCAAGATGGCCATTAAACTGGCCTTGCTACATACGGAATGACAGCGCATCATGTTAGCAGTTCACAAACTTAACGGCCGCGTACAACTTCGGGCACTTATGTATAGACATTTGCAGCGAAAAATTATTCAATATAGAAAATTGAATCCATACATGTCGCGGATATTCGTACCGCTAAATTGGGCGTATTGGGTGTTTGTCACCCGTCAAGAGAAGCGAGAATTAGTGGGCGATGTTCAGAAACAGGCGATCTATTATCACCGCTAAGGCGACAGACACTCTCCAGAAAAATTTGAATAATATTGTTAAGATGAGCCTTCGCATACGTGCCGAAAAATTCCGCGGCCACCCTAGAAAGCGGTGGGTATCGCGGTTTCGTGCCACGAGGGTTAGTTGGGCACGGTACGCGGAAGTCTTACGAGCGTTCCAAAAACGATTGGACTTTGCAATGCTGAGTGAGAGAAAGCTTCCGAATTTGACATCAGCGCCCTGTGCTCATTCTTTTTCTTGATGAGAATTATGACGGATAGCGCTTCCACACAAGATCGACCGACGTATCCCTGGTGGGGGAACGTCGACTCTTAATAGGTTCAAAGTGGCTAATTGGAAACGAATCGAGCACTTTTGTACATTAGGGGGTAAAAAGAACCCTTTCTGTAAGGTAGTGACTTTCAAAAATGAGCGAGGATCACATCAAAGGATTTTCATCTGTCAAAATCAACGTTTCGCGTTTTATAAAGCCTGTGAAAATCACGACAGAGTCAGGATTTTTTGCAATTATGTGCGACGTGCAATCTTCAAAAACAGAATACAGTTCGCGGAGGTATTTAAATTACCGAATACGGATTGATATATACGCCTTGCGACAGTATGCAGCGGGGCTGCCATATCTCTTTGCTCAGAGGGAGCTAAGCTAAACATCACCGACCTTACGTACTCTACCAGAACCAGTACGAGTGTAGCGGATCCAAGAGTACCCAAAACCTTAACCAAGGCAACTACGCTCTTTTGTTCAAAATTGAAACTGTTTTCATTTTTTTTATTAACGGCAGAGCCGCCTTTATCTAAACCCTTAGATTTTCTTAATTAAATAGTAAAACCTGATCAATATACATAACTACTGGCAGTCCCGCCACGAAGTGGCTTTTTGTTATGGTGTAGCCACACCATTGTGCGATTACACCGCTTTGTGTAATCCACTTTTGTACGGTCACACCATCCTGTGTGACCCACTCTTTCATAGCAAGGAGCGTGTAATTCCGTTACACGCTGGCTACTTGTAACCCTGCTACACGCTGGGTACGTGTTAATTCCATACACTCTCCCCCATCAAAATTGTGGATACCCACAGTTCATATTTCACTGTCGCCTCATACGAGGCTCGCGTGTTTGAGACACCGTTACATCCCTAGGATCATCTTGACTCATTCTCCGCTCAATGAGCCCTGTGTCTAAGACATGAAAAACTTCCAGCCTTCCCGGTTTCGAGGGCGAGAGCGGGTAGAGCCCTTCTTTGTCTTCTGCACGCGGTGCACCACCAGACAGAACGTCCGCGGCTCCACGGAAAGCACATACCAAGCCCTCGGAAATCTGGATCCACGCACTGCGCCCACCACGAGCGACGGATCTGCTCGTCAAGGATTCGAAAAAAGTCGACTACGAGTCGGATACTCCTTTCCCAGCATTGGAAGACGAGGAGAGCGGGATGCGTCAACGGCGCGACGTCAGCCTTGCTCAAACCTTGCGGACACCGTGTCCCTTCCCCGCCCTCCTTACTTCCCGGGAAGGTTGTATTATTACCAATCGCCTCGACGAGGCGCAGGAGCAGCAGCTGGAAGCGCTCCCGATTCCGTGGTGCTTGATTCTGGCAAAACCACTGCAGATGATGACGAGCTCTTCAAGCAATGGGTGCAGAGGCACCGGAAACTTTTCTCGCTGTCTAACTTACAGCGGAGCCGCAAGGAAGTGGACATGCGCGTTGAACGCCATCTTTGATTTGAGTTTGCCGAACTCAAGGCGCAACGCCGACTTACTGCGAATTGCGCCCTGCAACGCATGGAATAATCAATCACACTCCAGCGTGCTCTGTGCTTTCTCACACGGATGGGTCGACAACCACGACAGCTCAGGGCCATAGCTTGAGCTCGGCTCATGGCCCTTCGGCTTCCCGGGCTATCAACGAGAAGCGCGACGACGCGGAACGATATGATCCCTCTGATCATATGCGTCCACGACGTCTGGGTAGTCTTGCCGAAGTGGCAACTCAAACACCACGAGCTCACGGAGTATGGGTATCCCGGCCGCTTCACAAGGATTGGGTTCGACCTTGTCGACGACGTCGACCCACAAGGCGTTCCACGTGGTAGTGGACGCCACCATTCTTATCGAGAAGAGTCGGCGGCGGACGATGACGACTTGGTCGATCGCCGTCCGGTGACTTGCGATGCTCTTCGAGCGTTGGGGGACAAACCCGTCGTCATCGGTACTCCACCGATCATCTTGTCGAGGTCGCATTCCGCTGTGCGGAAGACCTTGAGAACTTGGAGCACTTTGTGCACCGACTGCCTCACGTTAATATCAATTATAAAGGTTCTACAAACTGTGGATAGGGCTTTGTCTTAAAGACAGTAGAAACTGCTTGAGTAGGAAAGGTTTTAGGTTTTAATAAAATCAGGTCTCCAACTTCAAATTTATAAATATTTCATCGGCTCCTTTCTTCTGCATATTCTTTCTGCATGTCTTGGCTTTCAGTCATCGTATCGTGAACGGGTCGTAGGAGACTCAGTCTGGTAGACAGGAAGTCATCGACTTCTTTCCGGACAGTGAGGGGGCTGCCATCAGCTAGCCGTTCGGCTACCACTAAGCACTGAGCCATGGGATGATGGCGAAGCGGGACGCGAGGATAGAATAAGCCCGTTCACCTTGAATGGCATTTAGCCGGTAGATGAATGCACTACATTGATCCGAGCAAACTCTACGAGTAGCAGCATGGCGCTTCAGAGCCTCGGCATCTCAGCGCAGATACTGCGAAGAACGCCTTCCACAACGCTTTTCACGCGCTCAGTTTAAACATCGATGTGCGGATGGTCCGCCGCTGACTTAATCAGCTTGTTGCTCAGGACCTTGAAGATCGTAGACCCAAACTTTCCAGTAAAGCACGGGTCTCTATCAGAGACAATCGACTCCGA